CCGGGCCTCAGCTCTCACAGACGGACCAGGAGCCGCGCCCTTAACCCGGGCCTCAGCTCTCACAGACGGACCAGGAGCCGCGCCCTTAACCCGGGCCTCAGCTCTCACACACGGACCAGGAGCCGCGCCCTTAACCCGGGCCTCAGCTCTCGCAGACGGGCCAGGAGCCGCGCCCTTAACCCGGGCCTCAGCTCTCGCAGACGGGCCAGGAGCCGCGCCCTTAACCCGGGCCTCAGCTCTCACAGACGGACCAGGAGCCGCGCCCTTAACCCGGGCCTCAGCTCTCACAGACGGACCAGGAGCCGCGCCCTTAACCCGGGCCTCCCCTTAGAATCCCCTGGAGCACATCCTGCGAACCACACTGGTGCTCCCACAGGACCGAGAGAACTCTGTGGGGAGGGCGCCGGGGAGGTCATTGCCTAACGCTGGTCACGTGACCCTGATGGGAAACAGATGGAAACCACTTGGCCAATGGTTCAGATTCTTTCTGAACCATTTCAGTGAATATGAACCCCTCGAGGTCAGGTCCCCACTCTAAGAAGTTATGAATCTGCAGGTCTGAGGTGGGTTCATTAAATACGTCTTTAGCATGTTCTCTGTTCTGATGTTTCTCCCCCAAGACCCACACTCAGGAGCCCTGAGCTTCAACCCTCACACCCAGCACAGCTGAGAGCTCTCAGAAGGGGAGGGTTTAGGGTGGGAATTTCTGAGGGAGGTCAGGCTAGAACCAGGCAGAGAAAGCTGCAGGACTTGGGGTTCAGGCCTTTCTAAGTGATCCTGGGTGAAGTGCTGTGGGTTCCCCATGCTGAGTGTGGATGGGTCCATTCAAACCAGGGGAGCAGGATTCTGGTGAGCTCTGAGGGTGTCAGTGAAGGGGGGCCTGTGAAGTAGGCCCTGGGATTCAGCAAGACTGCTGGTCTCAAGGAAGGGGTCACCTAGGGCGGGTGCTCACAGGACTGGCTGGTGTTGAGTTCAAGGACCTGCCGGCTGCCTGCTCCCCAGACAGACGCTGAGGCAGCAACAGCATGGAGCAGTTCATGGGCGCTCTCAACAGTGCTCTGTGTGATCCTTCTTATTAGAGCCGTCACCATGCCCCAGCAGTTACGGGGGCGCAGGGGAAGGTACATGTAGAAATGATGGAAAATATATTATCACATTATTTGAGGGTTAAGGGTAGTAAGGTAGCTAATTGTTACAGATGCTATCCTCTGTGCTACCTAATAGTTTATTGTTACAATCTCTCCCCGGAAACCTTAAAGAAGGTGGGAGAGGTTAATGTTGACAGTGGGTTAACACTTCATTCATTACACATCAACTTTATCGCCAGAAACCATTCAATTTTAATTAACATATATGAATATCACACATAGTCATAATAAAACCTTTTACAATCCACTGCGTGACCTTAATTAAAATACAGATTTACAAACATAGACAACAATATTCATTTCTCTGATACAATGATCTGAGAATTGTGACTTCTGTGGTTACAATTACAAAATAGAGGCTAATCATTTAATAAACAAGATGTAACTAGCTACATGACTGTTCTGGGAAGCCTTTCGCATACTTTTCTAGGGTTATCAGAGATGTCGTTATTGCAAACATGTCAACTAATATTCATGACTTCGGTTGATATGAAAAAGATACATCAAGATTCCAGTGAACTATCATTGTCTTATCCTTAATAAGCAAATGACATAACTATTGAAAATTTAGAACAATCCTTTGTCTTACTTTGATACATGGAATTAATTCCAGTACATTCTTTGATATTTATTTAGATTTGATTAAATACTTTGCTACTTTTTTTTTTAACATCATTCACTTGTCTTTCTTGTATAAACCCTCTCCTGTTTTCTAAACTATATTTGGGACGAACCTCTTTCATCACTTATTAAATTACTAGAGTTTCTCTCCAGAGTGTACTCTGCATATGCATTAAATAAGCAGGGTGATGATATACAGCCTTGACATTCTCCTTTCCTATTTTGGAACCAGTCTGTTGTTCCATGTCTGGTTCTAACTGTTGCTTCTTGATGTGCATACAGATTTCTCAGGAGGCGGGTAGGATGGTCTGGTATTCCCATTGCTTGAAGAATT